AAGAGTAAACGATTTCTTTCCCACCCAAAGTTTGCCTTAATGACACTTTTCCACCCAATAAGTTTCAAAATATTACTTTTCACCTAAAGTTAATATTCTGTTACTACCCAAAGCCGATTCTGGCCGATTCCGATGGCAAAAGTTATATCTGTCACCACAATTTAAACCTCCGATCTCCTCTTTACAAAACTTTTCTCACTCTAACATCTGATTTCTCGTCGGTTGCCAGCCTCCACAAAATTAGAGTTTCCTGTTCATAGCTGATTTCATGTTGCGAATATTGATCGGTCACTATCATTCGATCTACTGACCTCAACTCTACAAAAACCCTCTTATCTTAGCTCCTAGTAACTCATCGAATGTCGATTGAGAAAGTGAAGTGTATTTTAGATATTAATGGAATATAAATTTTAGATGAAAAAAATGATATTTTAAAACTTTTTGGATAAGAAAAGTGTCATTAATTAAAGCAAACCTTAGGTGGGAAAAAGTCGTTTACTCTTAAAAGTAGTTGGTGTCAGATATCTCAATTATTTAATTTCAAAGGATTTGATTTGTAAAGTGAAAGTGGACTTAGTTACTTCTAAGTACTAAAAGAAGTTCTCTCATGTCCTTGAATGTGCANAAGGGTTGCAGCCATAAATTTTCCTATTGGTAGGACAAGAATTTGAGCTGAAACTGAACCTACATATAGCTGATTCTGGCGGTAACCAAAAAATTGGTTTACAAATGCTAAAAGGAAACATGAAGTAAGTCCCAGAACCCATGTTCTGAAGGTTAAAGCTGGTTGTGTGGGATCATCAGTTATTGGAACTGTGAGCCTAACTTCCTCAATTGGGTTGTCACTAATATATTCATCTACATCAGAAAATAGATTAACGAATCAGAATCAAATCAAAGTGTAATTTTCAAAAAATGAAACAGACCAAAGTATAAAACTGATCAAAGTGTAAAGTTCCATGTACGGGGAAAATGAAATTAGAAAATAAATTTTAAGGAATAAAATTTAAATGTTTTGCATGATGGGGTTAGCCTAAGCCATGGTTGCCATTGATAGTTGTCAAAGGGACATAATGAACTTTTATAGAATCTGTTAGGACAGACTTCCTGACTCATAACATGGTTTTAAACTCGGCTTGGCCCGGCCGGTTGAACCGGTTCGACCGAGAATCAGTGGCTAGACTAAGTCGGTTCATGTAAAAAACTAGAAATAGCATTTGACCCGCTTCCAGCCGCAGTTGAACCGGTTTTTTTTTCCAATGAACATTGGTCCAACCGGTATAACTCACGTTACTACAGTAAAATATTAAAAAAATAATTAAAATTTAAAAATAATAAAATTAAAAGTAACCCTTTTTAGCTTTTTTTCTTCTCCCTTCCCTATTTTTATTCGACAAAACCAACACAGCAGAGAAGAAAAATTTTTAAAAACCCATTAAAAATTAAAATCTACATTTAAAAAAAAAATTTGTTTTTTTGCTAATGTCATGCTGATGTCAGCATGATGTTTGACCCGTGACTCGATAGCTTGGCTGGGTTGCCCCTTGGGTCGGGTTTTAAAACTTTCCTAAGACCAATTGCTAGACCGCGAATCCAAGACTCCGGAGCCAGCGGGTGCCGACAAAGGATTGAAAGAAAAAAAAAAAAAAAATTTCTCACAAACCTAAACATAATGAGTCTTTACAAGAATATAATAAGTTCTCGAGCCGATGCATGGTGCCATGAATATAACAAACACCAAGTAAATAAATAGAGAGAGAAGAATATATAATACCTCTGACAACGATCTCCGTTTCGTGAATTTGAGAATACTTAGTAGGAGGAACAGAAGTGTCTTCAACATTGTGACTACTTGCCAATTCCATTTCTCTTTCTCTCCAAAGGCAATGGCAATGGCAATCCTTCAAGGATTGCTGGGCTAGCCAAAACACCCTTTAAATGTCTAATATGTATATATTTTCACAGACTTCTCTCTGGATATATGGATACTTTATATTGGTTTCAAATATAAAGAGAAGAATTTGTACAAACTTTGCTTTATCTAGATCAACATGATCGATTATAGTTAGAGGCTTGATAACATTTTTAGATAATATTTTACTTGTGAACTTTTTTGTTGTTGTTGGTGGTGGAGGTGGTGATGGTATAGAGTTATCTTTAACCCAACATTCTAAACAAATATAACTAAATCAAATCCTATATTTAAACAAGATTAAGCCCTAATTAGAGCTAATCAATGATACGTATAGAAGAATAACGTTATTCTAATACCCTCTTTCAAGTTCATCGAATCGGGACTATTTTTATATATAGCATCCAAGTTGTACAAAATTAATGCATTATTAAGAGAATAATCATTTTTCTTACAAAAATTATTATATATTAAGTTAAATTTTGAATTAATTTTTTTTTTATCAAAACTCTTCAAATCTAAAAAAGTTATTTACCTTGATAAATTAATAATGTTGATTAAATAATATTTTTGGTTGGTCTAGACTTATGATCAATGTGGTGAATTAATAATTCCCTAAAAAAACACATAAGTACCACTTGATATATAAATTAATAATCTCCTTATATATCAAAATTATATACTATATACATGACTCAATTATAAGGCCTAACAGCTATTTCCTATATCACATTAACTATACACAATATGTACATATATTAAGTTCAATGTTGATAAACTAATAATTTATTATTTTATTCTATTAAATAATATATATTAATTAGTAAATTTTTATGGTTCCAAAGATATATATTTAGCCCTCAAAATATTTATTCTTTAACTATAATAAGTAAATTATATAAAATACGTGATCTATAAATAATATCGAAAGAGAAAATTAGTTATTTTTCTTTGTAATATTTTAATTAAATTCATTTCCTCCTTGATAATTTGAGCATTTTTGGGGGGTCTTTCTGTCGTGCCTTAAATGCATGCTGCGATCTAGGCATTATAGACAAATGAGCTTAATCACTACAGGAAATTGAGTTTGACCCTCTTTCCATATTCATCTCCATGAAAATTACTTGGTCAATAAAGATCATGGGGGTGTTCACATTATTCTTTAATAGGTTATTTTAACTTATTTTAACATGCCCTACTGGTTAAATGTTTTGGTGAATAAAAGATAAAAATCCCGATGGATCAGATTCATAAATCTTTTTGAAAAATTTAAACGGTTCCAGAGAATTTCATGCAACTAAAAGAGAAGGGAAAATTCTTAATTTTCAATTTGTATTTGGATGTAATCAGGGATGTATTCAGATTCTAGCTGTTTCTCTCTTGGATATTCTTTTGTCCTTGTTGAGATAACTGCTTACAAATCAGAATGGTAATTCTTTATATTGCTGAGTTATTTTTTAAAAATAAATATTTTATTTATTTAATTTTTAAATCCTCTACAACTACTTTTATACCATTACATAATTTTTATTTTTTTTTGATAATCGAGGATGTCTAAACCAGTTTGTGAGTATCTTAACTAATCCCTTGAGACCCTGAAACTATTAATAGGATAAAAATTCCAGTAATCATCTATATTAATGGTTGTGAGGACTCGAATTGAGGAGATCTAGTCAGTCTCCTAGCACTTACTTGGACTTAACAAAAGAGAAAAATAAAAAAATCTTTAATAAAATAAAGGTAAGCCTAGCTTGTGCCCCTTTGTTGTGCAATGCACCAAAGATCATGCAAAAAGAAATATTATTTTATTTTAAAAATAACAATAATTTTTATGCATAGTATTTTGTGCAATGACAATAAACCATGTCTTAAGTGTGCCCTCCTCAAGCTTTACCCATAAAATAAAGCAAGCCATTGTTCATCATTTCCCATACCTAAACCTTGCCCATCTCCTCGAATTTTGAACTCATTCCCACCAAAGTTTCCATGTCAAGTAATCAAAAATCACAATCCCTAACACAAAAACCATGATAATTTGAGCATTTTTTTAGGGGTCTTCTGTCGTGTCTTAATTGCATGCTGCGATCTAGGCATTATAGACAAATGAGCTTAATCACTTCAGGAAATTGAGTTTGACCCTCTTTCCATATTCATCTCCATGGAAATTACTTGGTCAATAAAGATCATGAGAGTGTTCACATTATTCTTTAATAGGTTATTTTAACTTGTTTTAACATGCCCTACAGGTTAAATGTTTGGTGAATAAAAGATAAAAATCCCGATGGATCAGATTCATAAATCTTCTTGAAAAACTAAAACAGTTTGAGAGACTTTCTTGCAACTAAAATTCTTAATTTTCAATTTGTATTTGGATGCAATCAGGGATGTATTCAGATTCTAGCTGTTTCTCTCTTGGACATTCTTTTTTTCCTTATTGAGATAACTGCTTACAAATCAGAATGGTAATTCTTACTGCAATGGATTATTTCAAATCAGAATAGGGTAAGTGTATCTCACTTGCGGTGACATGACATTATATGATTGGATGATCATACAAACTTTGGATGTATGGTTAATATTTTGAATCTATTTTCATTTATTGCATTAATGAATCTTAATTAATAGTTTTTTTTGTAATGCAAGCTGGCTAATTTTCATGATTCCTTCTCTGAGATAAACTGCTTTAAGAATAGAAATTTATCCAGCCTGTGCACAGTACATACGTAGCAAAGTAGTGCCAGTTTCAGAATCTTAACAAAATAAACCCAAAAATCACTTGTAAGTTTCAACAGTTTTACCAGCTAGCTCATGTATCCACTGTGATTTGTCAGTTTGGTAGATTCAAAATATTCTATATATAGTATTTATTGATACATTCTATTTTTTCTTTTCTTCTCAATTTTGGTTTGCCAAGTTTGGTAATTTTACGGTAGGCCCAGAGTCATGCCAGGAAAAAAGAAAATTAATTAAAAGGTTAAAGGTTTATCAACCTTTTCTCTATTCTCATTCTATTTCAGGCCTGAAAGTTGCGATGTTGGATTGAAGTTTGTAGCAGTTGTTACATTTTGCAACTTTGTCTTGGAGAGAGATGGCAAGCGCTACTGAGGAAGATGGTGTTGTCCCTCAGGTTTTTTCTGTGGAGAAACATGAAACTGAGATCAAGTTAAATGGTATATATTGATTAATTCATCTCTCTTTCTCTCTGAAATGATCCATTTGTTTTTATTCTTGTTAACTTATTCTGAATTTTGTTATTTGTTCAAGCAGAAGATGAAGAATTTGATGATAACCCGATTGAGGAAGTTCGGCTGACAGTTTCAATAACTGATGATCCCGCAGAGCCAGTTTTAACTTTTAGAACGTGGGTTCTGGGGATAGCATCATGCTGCATTCTTGCCTTCTTGAACCGATTTTTCGGGTTCCGCCAAAACCAGTTGAATATTGGTTCAGTTTCAGCACAAATTGTTGTGCTCCCTGTAGGAAAACTGATGGCTGCAACTCTCCCGAAAACGCCTATTCGAATCCCGCTCACACCATGGTCGTTTTCTTTGAATCCGGGGCCATTCACCTTGAAAGAACATGTATTGATCACTATATTTGCTAGCTGTGGATCCGGTGGAGTTTATGCTGTCCATATCATCACCATTGTCAAGGCGTTCTACCACAAAAATCTGCATCCAGTTGCCGCCTTGTTGCTTGCACAGACTACTCAGGTACTTCTTGATACCTACTTGCATGTCTGCACAAAAAAACGTAGGTGGGACGGATGTTTCATGTCATCTATATATGTCTGTTTTCTAAAGATAACATGTAAATTTGTTCTTCTATTTTTTATATGAAATGCAGTTGCTTGGATATGGCTGGGCTGGTTTATTCAGAAAATACCTTGTTGATTCCCCCTACATGTGGTGGCCAGCGAACCTGGTCCAAGTCTCTCTATTCAGGTACTCATCTCACTTCAATATACATTGAATTGTAAATTGCAAAGCATTGTTTTCTTTTCATTGATAAACTATGAAAAAACCTGCAGGGCGTTACATGACAAAGATAAGAGACCAAAAGGGGGACTTAGCAGGCTACAATTCTTTTTCCTGGTTTTTGCATCAAGCTTTGCTTATTATGTCTTTCCAGGATACATTTTCCCTTCCCTTTCAGCTCTCTCATTTGTGTGTTGGATTTGGAAGGATTCAATCACAGCTAATCAGCTCGGTGCTGGCCTCAATGGCCTAGGCATCGGCTCCTTTGGCCTCGACTG